GTTAGTGAATACATATACATATATGCATAGAAAAGAAAATGGAAACTACAGTCAAACAACGTTGAATGTATCGTCGAAATAATTATAATTTAAACATTTGTTTCGAATCATTCAATCAGGATCATTCGGTCAGTACTCTAATGGGACATTGTTACTATAAAATGGGAAACACGGAAAAGGAATTGGAATGCTACGAATTCGCGCGTATGCTTTTCGATAGACCGGACAATTTGTATTTGGTGGAAGTTAGGTAAAATTGTTGAAAATCGATTCAAGTCAATCAGTCGTTGGTATTATCAGAGAGGAATCCATTCCTCTCTAATATTTAGAGTATGAAAAAATGAATGTAATATTAATATTAGATTAGGATATCATTATTATGATGTCGGCGATTTTGATCGAGCGAGACGTATTTTTCTAAGCGCTTGTAACTCTTCTCCGACTTCTTTGACTTGGTTTGGTGTTGGCATTAGTTGTTATGAAGTAAGAAATAAATATTTATGTATTGATATGAAAAGTTTCACGTATGAAATGTAGCATGATGATTATTTCTTTTAATACGTGTGAATTCTAGTTGGAACAGTACCACGAAGCCGAAATGTCTTTGTCAGAAGCGAACAGGATTGACAATCGTAATCCAGAAATATGGGGCTACTTGTGCCTTTTAAATATGACGCTCGAAAGATATGACGAGTTCGCACAGTGTTACGCAGAAGTGGTCAAAGTAAATTTGAATTATCGGTTACAAATTATTAAAAATAATTGTTTCTCGTTAGGTGTAAATTCGATTAAGAGTTTTATTCTGAACATATGTTACCCCTCATCGTAATAATATCAAGTCAAAATAATATTCAAGTCAATGGGGCATCTAAATTTTCCGATATTGTGTCAACAGTTCCAAAAAACATAATTTCGAGAAAGAGGACGTTTTTGTGTTATTCACATAAAACTTTGCGTGGACATTATAAAATATTTGTAACAAATATCGGCATATCAGCGTGGTTTTCATTAGATCACATAAGTCTAATCTTTCGAATATACATATAGGGTGTTCCAGAATACACGACTTTCTTCTGGTTGTCCATTTGTCTCGTTAATAACTTTGTTAACAGCGGTTGGAGGAAAAAATCAAAATTTTTTATTCAGAATTCCACCCTCTTTCAGCCTTAGTGAAAAATCGTGCATTCTGAAACACCCTGTATGTGAATGGGTAATATTTAAAAGATAAATCTCGGCTAACAATTTTCATCGTTTATTTTTTCTTTGTTTCTTTTTAATTTCAGAATAATCTTAAGAATAAAAAACTGTGGCTGAGAATAATGAACTTAATGGACACCTTGAACTGGTTTCCACCAAGTTTTACAGAAACTGAAATTTCGGTCGAGGACCATAGTACAGAAGAATCCGAGGAACATCTCCAAAATTAATGGCGCTTCTATATAATTAAAAGGAAATAGCACAGATTCGTGAATATAAAATAAATTATAATGGCACTTTAGTAACAAAAATTTAAAAACGATTAAAAAAGCATCTATTCCATGTTTTAACATTTTAGTATTAAAGTTATGTCTCATTTCGTGGATTAAAAATAAATCGTAATGGGCAAATAAGTAACAAAATTTTATATATAAAAAAAGAATGTGCAACGACTAACTATTTCAGTGCAAAGTTTTGAATAAATACATATAAACTATAAAGTAACATAACACTGCTTCTTCACTAAACTCAATGGTAAATAAATACAGGGTGTCCCATCATGCGTGAATTTCCTCTGGGGTTGTGAGAGAAGATTTTGAGTTAAAAGCTTCGATTTCACTTTTTTCTTCATTAACGCCTTATTAACGAAAAAATTGGATCAATCACGAGGCCCCGCCTCGCGCCGTCCTCTATTTTGTGACATTTGTTTTCAAACATGAAGTTGATTCACTTTTTTCGGTAATAACTTTGTTAATAGTTGTTGGAGGAAAAACTGAAAGAGGAACTTTTGACTCACAATTAGAATTTCATCCTATTTCACAACCTGTGAGGAAACTCGTATTCTTAAATACATTGCATAGCGCATTGTGTATTACAAGCGATTATTTGTTTTTAAATCTTTTTCTAAATTAAGGGGCTAGGATAGTCACGTGACTTTTCTAACATTTGCCGGTAAATTTTTGATGTTTTTTGCTTTGCTTTATCGATAACCGGACAAAAATAGTCTAAAATATGGGTTTGCAGTACACTTTTTGTCCTTGTATTGAAAGATTTTTAGGTGATCAAGTATATCTGAAAAGGCAAAAGTTAAGTCTGATTTAATCTGGTCTTCATTTCTCTCGACGCAATCTTTTTTGGACATAAAACTGCTTATAAATAAAGGCATTATAACTACGATTTTTCATCTATTTTGTAACTATATGCATATATCAGTTTTTACCCGCTATGCAAGTGAAGAGCATTGTATATGTGTAAGAACTAAAAGTGTAGTCCCGTAAACTCATATTTTTGGTCAATTTTGTGAGTAACATTGACTGCCTTATCGCACCGCTATCAGAGACTATTCCCTTAATAACAATTCCCGAAATATTGAAATATCGATCCTTTTTTCGTTTTATACAACTTATGTATATCAATCTCCAAATTAAAGTGACTCAACGGATTCCGGGCCAACTTCGTACGCATACATAGAAAATATATAATTCCAACTCTAATCCAACTAGCAACTAGCAGTTATTGTATAGCAGCGATGCATGAAAGGATAACGAAAGAGAACGTGCCAGAGTTTCTACGTGTACATATGAACTGCGAAGTGGTTCCGGAATTCTTGAGTCATCCATACGCCCAACCCATTGTATGTTGGCCGTACATACACATCGCTTGCCATATACCGTTTACAATGATGCGTACTTATCTTGTCTTATTTTTAATGATTTTCGGCCAAGACACGAGTTGGGTGTAGTAAGTATAGTTATAATAGGTAATTATAAAAATATCATTCGAGCACAATGTCTGAACAAAATTTTTAGTATTCTATTTTCATAGAATTTTTATACAAAATATCAAGAAATACGAATACTGACATTGTCAGTTTCTACATATTATTATTAAAGTACTAATAGCGATTACTTTTTAATGCGCTAATCCTTTACGGTCCTTTATTTTCAAACAAAAAATAAAGTTGTAAGGATAAAAACCGTATTTCTCGAAATAAAAATATTAATTTCATCAGTGTTTACATTACTTTCACTTACATTGTTTATATCACTTTCAATGTATTAAAAAAAAAATTTTTTAGTAATTCGTTTTGTCCATCATTGAAAACTAAAGTAATGTGAACGTTTTGTCCAAATTAAAAACTAAGTTCCAATGTACAAGATGTTTTACATCGATCATAAATATATAAATAGTACAGAAAGTCATACACCGGCAAAGGATTAATCAGTTAATGTTAACGATTGTGCGCAAGTAGTATCACTTAATTACAGTGACTCAAAAATGTATTAGCTTAGAAAAAGAGTAAAGTGTAACGGATATGTTACACATACTACCGAACATCGGTGTTGTTTTTTATTGCAATGATTCATTCTCCCTCTCGTTTTCTTTCTCTTGTTTCTTGTCGTTAGGTTCTTCCGTTTTTTCTGTATTTTCTGTTACGTCATTATCCACATTCACAATACTAACCGTATGAATATTTTCTAAATTTACTTCATGTGTATCTCTTAAATTTTCATTAGACGAATTACTCGTCTCTTTTTCAGTATTCGACACTTGAACTAAATGGGTATTGCATATCAGTTGATCCTTAATTTCTATCACAGAGTGTGTTTTATTTTCCAACGAAGACACAGAATTATCTATCACCTCTTCTGTATTTCGTTGTACCGTAATTTCTTCTTCGATATTATCACAGTTATCGTTTGCAAACTGTTCTGTATCATCTTTCGTTTGTTTCAATAATTCTTCATTAATCTCGTGTAGACGAGGTTTAAGCATTTCGACGACATCGCTCGATGATTCTTCATTTTCTTTTGGCACAAGTTGCTTGTTGGATGGATTGTCACCTGAAATCGATGCCTCGGAAGACACATTACTACCTTTACATGATTCCTCTACTATCTTACATGCAAGAGGATCAGAATTTTTGTCATCGGAAGTAATATTATGCGTTTCATCTTTGGCAACGTGAACAGAATTCTCCGCACTCGATGCAGGGATTAATACAGTTTCATCAGTTTCTTCGTTCATTAGCAATACTTCATCCAATAACTTATCTTTAACATTCGTTTCTCCATTTTTTACGTTACTTACTTGTATTCCTTCTGGTGGTGTCCTAATTGTTTCTGCTGTAATATTACATTCAATACTCTGTTCAGTATTTTGTTCACTATCGTTTTCGACATTACGTTTCATCTCCAGTTCATCATACTGCTCCACATTATGTTCCGTACTACCTTCCGTATCATGTTTATTATTCTGTTCATCATTATGTTGAACATCGCATTGTATACTATCTTCCGTATCATGTTTATTATCTTGTTCGTCATCATGTTCAACATCGCATTCCATACTACCTTCCGTATTATGTTTATTATCCTGTTCATCGTTATGTTCAACATCGCATTCCATACTACCTTCCGTATCATGTTTATTATCCTGTTCATCATCATGTCCAACATCACATTCCATACTACCTTCCGTATCATGTTTATTATCCTGTTCATCATTATGTTCAGTATCACATTCTATGTCACGTTCAACTTTCATTTTGTCGAAAGTAGAACACTCCTGAGTTTGACGTTTTTGTAAAACATCTATGTCTGAAGAATCGGGTTTCGTTACCTTACTATTCTCCTTAAAGAGATGTGATGATTTATTAGGAATGAATTTCTGATGATCCCTCTGCATATAAGATTGAAATTCGTGCGAATTCCCTTCACTATTTTTCCTCTGACGATATTTCGTCTCATTCTCCTTCTTCTTCTGCGAATGAGATTTCTTCAGATTAGAGAATTTCTGATTATTGAAATAAGTTCCTTTCGCTTTGTCTTCAAATGACTTTTGCCGAAAGAAAGGTTCATCTTCGGATGGAGGCACATCAACATCTGAATGGCTATACGTAACGCGAGTTCTTTGTCGCGGTCCCACTCTTCCGGTTCCAGCTATGTTTGGTGAATTCACTAAGATTTGTATATAGGTATTTTTATATTAGTATTTTTAAGTACAAACGAATTCTGATTAAGAATATGGTGAACATCTGTAATACCTACCTTTGACACTCATTACTGTGCCTTTCGTTACGTTGCTCTGATTTACAGTGACCTTAATACTCTTTTCGGTTGCAATAACGGTTCTTTCTTCGGAAGTTGGAGAAACCGATACTTTTGCCGACATTGACGAATTGTTCCTGTGCTGATCATAAGTATTATGAGACCGATTTTCATAATTTCCGTGGAAATTCTTTGTGGAACCACGATGAGAGCGATGGCCTGTGCCACGAGTGTAATTGACATGTTCATTATCTAAAAGAAAACACTTTGGTAATTTGTGGTAATGGTGTATATTTAAATTTTAAAAGTTTAATGATATCGATCTTCAGACATACTGTTATGATATCTTCTATCGGAGTCTTTTTTTACATAGTCTCCTAACATGGGCTTCGATGATTTCTTTGTTATATCATCTACAATATGCACCTGTAACATAATATGCAATTTCGATATGACTTCGATATTATTTGTACAGTTGACCATACTTTATCATTATCCCATTCTCTGCGCCAATTGCCCTCTGCAGTCTTCTGCCTACTGATTCGATCCTCGTCAATGCGATTTCTTTCAGCTCTCCAAGCATCATACCCCGGTTGAGAGTCATCTTTACAATTTCCTCTAGATGATTTACAATCCTGAAAACGAGTATAAAATCTTCAATAATCGATTTAAACATCTAAAATTACGAATATAACGATGTTACATACTTTCTGAGTACCACCTCTGCCGACGATTCTTCTACCTTTAAAATTCCCTCTCATCTGCTTCTGATGAGATTTATTTCCATTAGTTTCCTTTATGTTTTCCACGCCAGGTTCTTCTCGCTCAGAATCTGCTAAAAAGTTGTATTTAGGGTCCGGTGGAGGTCCTTCTCCCTAAAGAATCATTTTATGTTCAAAATTTATAATACTTAAAGATTCATTTAAAGATAACAAGATATTTTACACAGGTTATCAAACTTTTTTACATACTTGAGCAAATGAATGTATTTTTTTTCCTTCGCTGACATGAGGTTGCAATACGTATTCATGTTTCTCTTTGGTTGACTTCGATTTGGTTTTAGGAGGATTTGAAAATTCTGGTGGTTCTTTCCTTTCTGGCCAATCTTTCGATGGCACCATTTGTACCAAAGCATTTAGTTTTGCTGCATTCTTTTTATCTTCTTCAACTTCCTAATATGTCAAAATGATTCTTGAATTATACGTTTAATTTGTTTGTTTTACGTATTTCAATTTTAT